GTGGTGTGCGTGGTCCATAACTTCAAAGGCAAACAGCTGCTGGATGACGATCATTCACAGGACAACCTAAGCAGCAATCCGATGGTCAGCTCACCAAGGATGGAGAGTCCGCTGGAGAAATACATCGCCTCGCAGGTACAGCACACAAACAGACAAAAGCACAGCTGATGCTGTCAAACCAACTGACACAGTACACGTCCAGTGTGCAGAGCATCCAATCGGCTCTCAAGGGTCCTAATTGTGTCAGCCTGAGCGCTCATATCAACAAGATGTGTATCCGTGCGCTCCTGTCCCTCAGGTGGCAGAACTGAGAATGGACGATGAGGATTTGCCGTCCCGTGGTCTAAAAGAGCATCTCCTGGGTTTCTTTAGCTGGATTACAGGCAACAGCAGCCGCTTCAGACACCTGCAGAACACAAGGCAATAAACGTATGCGCACCTGTGTGAGGAGCTCAGGCTGCCAAACCTCTGGAGTACAGTGACGCGTCATTATAACACCATAATGCTCATTTCAACCGAGCACAACAATTGTCTGTGTCTAATTACAGTGTACCCAGAGCGTTGGCATCTCCGACTGCATGCTTTTAAGTCCTTTGCAGTTGAGTCTTGATGGTTGCTTCTGATCTTGCTTCTACTTCTGAAGTTAAAGGCAATATGCAATTGAGCATTTATAGAGGGGCATATTCATATATAAATATGTATGTGTGCGTGTGTATAATTTAATCTATCTATCTATCTATCTATCTATCTATCTATCTATCTATCTATCTATCTATCTATCTATCTATCTATCTATCTATCTATCTATCTATCTATCTATCTATCTATCTATCTATCTATATAGCTATTCTAGCTATCTTTCTTTATTTCTCTCTCTCTCTCTCTCTCTCTCTCTATATATATATATATATATATATATATATATATATATATATATATATATATATATATATATTGTGTACTACAATTATTATTGTAATACATAATATTTTTTTATTATTATGATTATTGTCCTAAAACATACAAACAAAATAGTAATGGTACAATGTGTGATGCAATAATTATGCTTTTGTAGTATATTATTATTATCGATTATGAATAACTTTTATTGTAAATTTCAATATATTATGTAACAAAAACATAATTATTGGATGATACATTTTAAAATACTTGATTGTAATTAATAATAATAATAATAATAATAATAATCATAATAATCATCATCATAGTAATACTTTATTATTATTATTATTATTATTACAACAACAATAATAGTTTACAATTATATAATTATTTGTATATTGTAATATATTGAAAATAATTAATAATAACAATTAATAATATATTATATAATATTATTATTTTATATATATAATTAATATGAATTATAATACTACTACTAATAAATAATAATAATGATAATAATAATAATAATAATAATAATAATAATAATAATAATAGTACTTTATTATTATTATTATTATTATTATTATTACAACAACAACAATAATAGTTTACAATTATACAATTATTTGTATGTCTTAATATTTGGAAAATATGTTTAATATTAATTCTACTAATAATTATTAATACATTTATTAATAATATTAATATCAATATCAAGACTTTAGTTTTAAGACCTAAGACCCCCGTCTTCCTATAATTTGCAGTTTTTTTAAAGGTCTCTCATCATAATGTAACTTTTCTAGATCACAATTATATGATGCAATACAGATATATTGTTTCAGTCTGCAAGGCATCATATAAAACATGCTTGTTTCATGAATGAAATATGAATTGATATTGGTGGCTGTTCAGTCAAAAAGATACAGTCATCTGATTTAGATGCAGGATAAAGGCTTTTATTGAAGTCTTTTGTTATCACACTATGATAGGCACCTCCGGTTTGTTGTTGTTTTGCCTCCTAATAAGGATTCCTCGCACGCACACTTGCTTCTAGTCCGCTTCTCTCATAGCAGGTGCTTCAGAATCCATTTAAAAAGCTGAACTGAAACCTGATGCTGCTGTTTGAGTCGGCTGACCTAAAAACTCGTAGCGATTGCACACCTCCAACAGAAGTGAAAACGCACTACTAAGCCCACAGAGACTTGAAAGTCGTTTGAAAATCCTCCAGTCCTGAGGCTCCGGCGTCTGCATTTAGCTCTCTATCCACTGCTTTTCCTTCCACAGCAGAGAATCACAGCTTTTAATTAAAGCACAGGCCACCGCTGAGCCCCATCGTGCTGTAATTAGACCGCAAGTACCACTCTTTAAATGCTTTTATTTACGCATTCGTTTCACGTAAAAGCAAACCAGAGAATAATATAATCCCAGATTGTGCTGTCGAATGCTCTCCGCAGTGTATGAGGGATTAAATGTTATTCTTGTTTGCTTATTCAGCTGCGACAACACATTTGGGAACAACGTCGGCGCAGCAAATGAAAGCGCAGGGATCTTTTTTTGCCAATAAAAATGCTAATCTTTAGTTTCTGCTTTAGTTGGAGATGCCGATATTTATTTGAGATATCCGCCCGGTCGTCTTTTTTTCAGGATGCTGTATAGCGTCCCGTGAGGTTTTGGGATGGAAAGGCAGACGATTCCACTTTGCTTTCTGCAGAAAATCTCCTCCAGACAGATTGCTGTCAGAAACTATAATGCAGTTGAAAGTGGGAGGACAAGGCGAGGAAAATCCACATCTCGGTTTTGTCTCTTCAAGTCTCTGAGACTGCCGGATCACGACTGATAGCAAGAAATAATATGCTCTGCAAAATCTGAGGTCACGCTTTGCAATATGACCTGCGGCTTGTTTTTTTGTTTTTTGAGTGTGTGTGTGTGTGTGTGTGTGTATGTGTGATCGTTCTTCATGTTTGTCGAATCCCTGATGAACTGGCTCCTGTATTATTTATGAATTGTCTAATGGAGCTGGTAGTTTCGGTTCAGCTTGTCATGAAATCGCTTGAAATTCAGCTAAAGCTCTCACTTGAATACCTTTCAGAAAGCATTTATTTATCGCGATAGAAAAATGGAGAGCACTTAGGAAATCTCAATTTCTCTGGATTTATCATTTAGGGTTATGTGCTTGACTAAACTTAATATGTTCTGCAAACTACTGAAACTACTTTTTTTCTTTCTAAATAGAAAAGTAAAAATGCTGTCATTAAGAGCATAACATTTAAAATAGTCAAAAAACAACAACATTAGCAGTGTTTAACTTCAGACAACTTTAGAAATCAAAATCTATCCATTAACCCTGATTGTTTCTATTTTCATCACATCACATCTATTTAAAATAAATAAAACGTTAAAGAAATATGTGTTTATTTTGAAAGAAAAAAACAGCAACAAACAAACAATAAAACTCACGAGGAACACATTAAATAATGTTTTTTGTGTTGTCTGCAATGAAATACAAGACAAAGTAAATTTAGAAATCACTACTTTTTTATTTGCGTTTTTTCATTCTGCCCTAACTTTTTCTGATTTGGGGTTGTGTGTGAATGTATATAAAGTAGTTTTTGTCCACCAATAATAACATACTTTCGTATATTTCAATTTTCTAAAATATTTTTTCTTTTTTTTTAGTAAAACAATGCTAAACATGCTTAAAATTGACTTACACTTTAAGATTGACATCATTATAAACTGACATCTAATTACGAAGTCTTGGCTGTTTAGAAAGAGGATACATGTACTTGCCTGGCCTGCACGCAGTCCTGACCTGTCACCAATAGAGAATCTGTGGTGTATTTTGAAGCACAAAATGTGATAATGAAGACCCATTACTGTTGCCCACCTTAAGACTTGTTTGCAGGAGGAATGGGCCAAATTTACAAATTGTCATCTCTTTGACAACTTCCTGGCTGCAGGGGAAGAGGATTTAAGTACTTGACTGGCCTGCCTGCATTCCTGACCTGTCACCAATAGAGAATCTGTGGCATATTTTGAAGCGCAACTATTGTATTGTCTGCAATAAAATACAAGTCAAAGTAAACTTAGAAATTACTACTTTTTTTTTTTAATTTGCGTTTTCCATTTCTAACTTTTCCTTATTTTTCTGATTTATATATATTGTGTGTGTTTGCTGTGATTTGAGTCTAAGCTCGGGTGCATTGATTTGAGGTTCGTTCTTGAAATACTGAGCTAGCAAGATTCTATTAATTGACTTGATCCAGGATAGTTTCCTTCTTCAAAACTTATCCAGGAGTTTTTGTCATAGCAACAGGTCTGTTGGCTCAAATCTACCCAGGAGCAGTTTTATGTAACTACAGAAGACTTGAGGTTTAAATAGGAACATTTTCAAAACTTTTTAGTAAGTTTTGAGCGAGATGATGCTAATGGTCTAAAGTGATTCAATGATTTATGCTAAGCTGAGCTAAAATTTCTCCATCCAGACCTGGAGTTCGACTCAATGCATTAAAGAAATATGTTAACATTGTAAAATGAGTCTATTTTCAAACAAAAAATGTTCTTTTAAACGAGGTATGAAGAACCGAACCCAGATCTGATGTGTCTGTAAGTCCTGAAGTGTTTGTTTGCTGACGTCTCTCCTTCTGTCTTCCTCTGTCAACAGAATCACATCGCCTTCGCTGAGATCACGTGACCTCGAATCAGCCGTATGGCAAACACACTGGACATCCACGCTGTTCACCGTCCAGACCCGATAACCACGACTCAATGCTAAATGCATATCCTCCATGGTGTCCTTTCCAATGCCTCTGCCCTTGCTGTGTGTGTGTGTGCGTGCGTGCGTGCGTGGAAACACTGTCAACTATTAACTGTTTTCATAACACAGATAAAGACTAAGATTTACACTTCACATTCCCCTGACCGCTTCTGTTGGCTTTTCTTGCAAATGGAGCTCAAATTCAAAGCTCAGAAAATCTCAGCTGCTTGCGTTTATGGAGTGTGTGTGTGTGTGTGTGTGTGTGTGTGTGTGTGTGTATGAGAGCTCTATGATGACATTGATGCAAATACCTACCTATGGAATTCAAAATGGACTTGCAGTCGTGGATATGTGTGTTTTTCTTTGTCAGCGGATATTCCAGAATATGTTTATGGCTGAATTTGTTTGTGTTCTAGTGCTTGCGTTGGATGACTGCAAACATGCTGAAGCCTGATTCTGCCTCAGAGGATTAAAAATAAGGTAGTTTTGATTCTATTTGTTTTGAAACTGTAACACTGTGTTTTATAAATTAAGTCTTGTGTTGATCTCACGATTACAGTTTTATTTATCTCATTTGAGCATAACTGGCAGTATTAATTTTTAATATCTCAAAATATATACACTACCTGACAAAAGTCTTGTCATTAATCCCAGTTATAAGGGCAACAAATAATAACTTCACTTCTAGTTTATCATTTGGAAATGTGGCAGGAGGTAGATTTTTCTGATGACTGTCAATCATCACAAATACTGCAGAAGACCTGTTGGAACCTGCATAGACCCAAGATTCTCACAGAAATCAGTCAAGTTTGCTGCAGGAAAAATCATGGTTTGGGGTTACATTCACTATGGGGTAGTGCGAGAGATCTGCAGAGAGGATGGCAACATCAACAGCCTTAGGTATCAAGACATTTGAGCTGCCCATTACATTACAAACCACAGGAGAGGGCAAATTCTCCAGCAGGATAGCGCTCCTTCTCATACTTCAGCCTCCACATCAAAGTTCCTGAAAACAAAGAAGGTCAAGGTGCTTCAGGATTGGCCAGCCCAGTCATCAGACATGAACATTATTGAGCATGTCTGGGGTAAGATGAAGGAGGAGGCATTGAAGATGAATCCAAAGAGTCATGATAACCTCTGGGGGTCTTGCAAGAACACTTTCTTTGCCGTTCCAGATGACTTTATTAATAATATGTTTGAGCCATTACAGTGATGTATGGATGCAGTCCTCCAAGCTCATGTGAGTCATACACAATATTCATTCTTTCTCCACTGCGGCATGACTTTATATTCTATACTGTACATTATTTCTGTTAAATGACAAGACTTTTGTCTAAGCAAAGTCAGACCTTTCTGTAACTAAATAATTAAAAATCAAGGTATGATCATATTTTATTTTAGTAAAATAAGCATAATCTAGAGGCCTTTGCCTTTTATATAAGCCACTTCTGACACCGAATGGTCAACTAGAAGTCAAAGTTATTATTTGTTGTTTCCAACACTTGAATAGGCGACAAGACTTTTGTCAGATATATTTGTGACAAAAGTAACTATATAATTGTGATTTTATAATTCAGTTTGACTTTCATGATTGCAAATGAATACAGTATTGACCATTTGTCACTTTATTTGTGACTTTATGTCGTACAACAGCACATTTATTTCTCATAACTGTGATTTTAATAACTCATAATTGAGTCTGTTTCTCGGCAAGTGTACTTGCAATGCAACTTTATTTTTTAAAAAACTCAGAATTTATATCAAAATATGATTTATTTCTTGTAAATGCAGTTTTATTTCTTCCATTTATTTCTCATAACTGTAATATTATATATCAAAAAATATCTTAATTGTGATGTATGTCTTAATTGTGACTATTTCTCTTAATTGCAATTTTTACACTGTATTTCATATTATATTCAACCTACATTTAACTTTCAATTGTGACTATATTTCACAATTTCAACATTAAAATTGTGACTACAGTATATAATTTATATCTAACAATAGGATTTTTTTTCTTTTAGAAGACATTCTTAATGTTTCAATTATGTTATTATTATGATTTTATATCTCACCGTGAGACTTTATTTCTGAGACTACAGTTTTAATCATTATTTAAATACCTCCCTTATTTTTCAATCTGAGGCAAAACTGGGTTTCCATACATGAGTAAATACACTGTGTCCACACACAAAAAGCAGAATATAAGCTAAAAACACCTGAAGAAAGCTCAATTTAAAAAGAAAACAAAATACCAAAGCTCAGATATGCTCAAAATAACCTAAAAAGGCAGTTTAAGATATATTGGTTTAAATATTCATGAGCCAATAATAATTGTAAATGAATGCATTCACGCTTCTGTGAAAGACAGATCATCTGCTAAGACAATCATCACCATCTCACTAGATTAATGAATCTGTCTATATAACCAGTGCTCAAAATAACCAAACTCGCATTTGTTTTCATTTTTTAATGGCTGGTAGATCTTTCGACAAGGATTGATAACTTATTAAAAACAAAACAAAATGTGATACCTCATGTGTGAAGTTGTGGATGTTAATTAGCAACCTACTGTATATTATTTTAGTGCTAATTTATATTTCAGATCTCCGGCCCTGTGTTTCAGTCATGCTGTGGTGCCATTTAAAAGAATATTCTGGGTTATTTTTTGCTCCGCATTATTAATTATCATTTCAAGTTGTGCTTTAGTTATTAAAAATGTGCATATATTATTATAAACTTGGCAGATAAGTGGAATTTTTCGCTTAGTCATTGGTTAGCTTAGTCAATTCCTCAAAAAATGCCCTACAAATTCAAGATAGAATTGCAAAAGCCCTTTTAAAGTTGAATTGATTTATTTAGCATGTTTAAAACAGCCACAAGCTGATCAAAGTTCTTTACAACAGTGGTTCTCAAAGTGGGGGTCGGGACCCCCAGAGGGGTCGCGGGACAATGAAGGGGGGTCTCCTGGTGATTTCCAAAAATCGATTTATTTTTATTAAACCACAAGATTTACCATATTTTATTCATAATCAACTGAAGAGAAAAAATATATACTATATAGTTACTATAATAGCTTATATTTCTATTGCAGGGGTTCCAGGGTTTCTGTTCCTGGAGATCTACCCTCCTACAGAGTTTAGCTCCCACCCTGATCAAATACATCTGAATCAATTAATAAGGACCTGAACAGCACTTGATAATTACAGGCAGGGCTGCAACTGAAATCTGCAGGAAGGTAGATCTCCAGGAACAGGGTTGAGCACCCCTGTTCTATTGGATTGCGACCCCTGGGGTACATTATATTAAATACACAGCAATAGCATCAGATGCAGCGGATTGATTTTATAACACCAGGTTGAACTTTCTGGTCCATTTACAGCACTGTACACATTAAAAAAAGAAACAAAGAATAGACTTGGGTCTATTGGTGTGTGTGTGTGTGCACCATTGCATGCAAGGTTTCTGTATTTATAACCACCTCAGAGGATATTGGGGGTCGCGAGTCACTGACATTGTCATTTTGGGGGTCAGGGGCTGAAAAGTTTGGGAACCCCTGCTTTACAACATAATACATACTAGAGATACACAAAAAATATTGAATTAAACTAGTTGTGATTAATTTAAAGGTCTCATTAAGTGCTTTGAAATGAGCATTTTTATTCGATGTTTGACGTAATCTCAACCGAAACATGACTAGAGGGTGGGACATAGTGTAGCTCCTCCTCTTTTTTAAAAGCAGCCAATAGCATTTTGTTTTATCACCACTCTGCCTGTGAGAGTGATTGAGCTCAAGCGCATCAAATGAAAAGCAAAGAGAAGTGTCTTGAAGGTGGCAGGGTATGTCAGATACTAAAGAGCAAGTGATTGCTCAAGATTTGATGAGAAACTGATGATGAGAAACTACAAGCTTTACATCTTTATATCAGTTTAAATCTTCTAATGGCACATTTTGTCACTGTTTTGGAGCACACTAGCTTACAGATAACTTAAAAATGAACAATACTGATACTAACATCTAAAAACTTAAATTTCATGGGACCGTTAAGTGTGAAAATGAATGAAGAGTATCAGTTCACTGCATTACTTTTATAAATTTGGACATTGCATTGGATTCCTTTTTACACAAGTTTCTATTGAGCTTGTGAACACTGTAGCCAATCAGAGGTGATTCGATTAGTCTGATTTTTGTGCTTCTGCGAATTGTGAACTACAAAGCACTGAAATGATTGCAGCTTCAGTGATCATAATGGGAGTGATTATAATGGGTTTTGTAGAACTTCAGCTTGACTAATGACCTGAACCAACAAATTTTTTTTTTTTTTTTGCCAATGTTTCCATCTAAAGACGCAAAATACAGTTGGTCAGAATTATCAGCCCCCTTTAAATTAAAAAAAAAAAAAAATTCCTAAATGATGTTTAACAGAGCAAGAAAATTTTCACAGTATGTCTGATAGTATTTTTTTCTTCTGGAGAAAGTCTTATTTGTTTTATTTCGGCTAGAATAAAAACAGTTTTTAATAATAATAATTAAAAAAAAACATTTTACGGTCAAAATTATTAGCCCCTTTAAGCTTTATTTTTTGATAGTCTACAGAACAAACCATCATTATACAATTAACCTGCCTAGTTATCCTAAATAACCCAGTTTAGCCTTTAAATGTCACTTTAAGCTGTATAGAAGTGCCCTGAAAAATATCTAGTCAAATATTACCTGCTGTCATCATGACAAAGATAAAATAAATCAGTTATTAGAAATGAGTTATTAAACTATTATGTTTAGAAATGTGTTGGAAAAAAAAAAACTTTTCTCTGTTAAATAGAAATTAGAAAATAAAAAGGGGGGGGGGGGGGTAATAATTCTGACTTCATCTGTATGTTTATGCACAAAAGTAGAATATTGCATTAAACATTTGCAAATAAAGCATCGTTTACATGCAGTGAGTTTAGAGAACAAAATCTTTGCTTTCTGATAAACCGGCACCAAATATCAAATTCTAAAATGGAATTTGCTGTTTTATGAGAAGTCGCTTTTGTCTTATATAATAATTTACAACTCGACTAAATTACTTGAAAATAGTTTTGGCTAGTAATAATACCAAACCACTTTGATGGTGGACTTTGGCTAATGGTTATTAGAATAACTAAAACACCATTTCCGTTATTGCTTTAATGCTGTCTCATCATGCTTATTTAAGTTATCACACAATCTGTTTGACTTTCTTGATGTGTGTACTAGAATTATTTTGGCAAATGTGTTTCCATCGTAGTTTATATTTTTTGAAAATATTAAAAGTAAATGAAAAGCTTTTTTTAAGCACATTTTCAAAATTTATGCACATATTGGCATTTCCTTTAAGCATTTTTAATGCGATATTCCAGAATGGGTATAAAAATATTGATTATGTAGCCTGATTTTTACCTCAATGCTTTACTCCGTTTCTCTGTTTTTTGGGGTTTTTTTTTTGGTTTTTTTTAATGTGCATACTGTTAATCAAACTTACATGAAGTCATTATTACAATATAATCAACAGTAGTGTTTTTTTTTTCAATATTCCAGTCAGTTTCTTTTTTTTTAAATATAATTTACATATTATTTTAAACAGTTTGTTGTTTTTGATAACGATAATATTCTGACTCAACAGTAGTATTTGATCTGAGGGACAGAATAAAAACAGAGTAAAAAACTCCCCTCATGATGGAACGAAATTAGTTCCAATTGCCAAATACTGTATAAATTTCATGTAATAGTATCAGAGGCTTCACTCAACTTGTGGACTTTTAATGTACGCGTAAAGCCGCGGTCACACTGCACTTTTTGTGCTATAGACTTTTGCAAGTTTTACATTCTTGGTGAACTCTGACCTGCGAAACTGCTTCAAAGTGACCTCTCTGACAGAAATTGAAAATATGAAGCAATCACTTGCTTTTATCACCCTCTAATCATATTGTTTTAACCCAGCCATTTTCGCAGCGCCATATGACAGAACTTTACAAGCACAAACTCTAGTGCGATTGCAGCTTTACCCACAGAGTCAGTTCATGACCCAGAATATTCTTTTAAGGGTTTTAGCCGTTGGTGATTAATTCAGTAAATGGTTCCCCTTTGTAAAGTAAAATGTCCTGCTGATGTGACCAGTCCTTAAAACAGCAATAATGTGATTCATCACATCTCATGAGAAAATTCCCATATGACTGCCCCACAAATGGTGTTAATTTATTTTTAAATCAATATATACATATATATAGGTGTGATAAATGGTATATTATTGCTAAAGCACTTGAGAAATCTGGGATAGCTGCACTGAAAAAAAAAAACAAGCCTAAATATGATAACTGAACGTGATCGGCGTGTACAGTGTAAATGCACATGACTATACTTTTTTTGTCAGAGATTATCGATGTTTATTTTCTTATGTTTGTGCTGGGTTTGTTGGCCTACTGTAAGTACATATTGTACTGTATTTATCATTGATATTCTTTGAATCCTAGCTGTAGTATCACGCTGGTTTACTGTTTACCAAATTGATATTTTTGGGGGTTTTTTTAAATAGTGTTTATTTAAGTTCCGCCTATCGTTTTCTGTTGTAAAAAGTCATTCTTTCGACCACAGAAGCTTTTAAAACTTCCGATTCCTATATCCTCTTCTCCATTCCACCTCGGAAATCACTCCCAAATGGTTTATTTCAAAACTCCAGAATGGATTTCCTACCAAATCCATCTCTTTGAGTCCTTTGGGGCTTGGAATTCATGACCTTTTACACTGTAGAGATGATGAGATCTAAAGTTTGAATAAAAAAAAATAAAAATCCTAAAGCCTGTTGTGTGTTCTTTGACGAGCACTTCATAAAAGCGGAAAATGACATCTAATATTGAACACGTTTAAACCGTCCTGCGGCATTTCTGACTCTTGACCTCAGGGAAATTGGCTGCTTTGCTCTGGAGAACCTGTAAAATATGAGAGAAAGTGACGTGGCGTGGAGATTTGATGATCTTTGGCCATTCAGATTGACAGCGAATGTCCTGAGGAGAAACAAACAGACAAATACGCAATCAGAAAAGATGGAGCGATTCAGCCAATTCTCCATTTATAGCTGTCGCTCAACAGGGGTCAAAGAAGAAAGTCTAGGTTTTTCTCACATCCAAAGGGAAATGAGCTTGTGTTTTAGAGCTGCTGTCTGTTTAGCTTGAAACTGCTGTGAAACAGGCCATCTGGGCTTAAAGTCTGTTTGTGAGGGGGAAAAAAAAGATTTTTTTAGCCTTATTCAGAAAGCGTGGCATAAATATTCCACTAATAAAGGTTCATTTAGCATGACTGCGCCATATTAAGATGGGAGTTTACTTGCTTCATGGTTTGAGGATGCTTGTTTGAAGGTAATCGGTTTGTTTAAACTCAACAAGAAATTAAAATTTAGCCAATTTGCTTCCTTAATGTGCGTTTCTGATCTATTTGTAAGTGTTTTGTAAGGTCAAGTTCTGTAGGCAAAAAACACTGATAATTCTCTGCTTCTCAAGTGAGATTCCTTTTAACATGGAACTTGAAAGGAAATAGATTTAGGCTTATTTTATGTATAATATAAAGCATATTTGGACGGTAGAAGGAAACCGGGCAACCTGGGGGAAACCCACGCGGACACGGCGAGAACATGCAAACTCTGCACAGAAATACCAGATGGCCCAGCAAGGACCCGAGGCCATTGGTATTCTTGCTGGGAGGCAACAGTGCTAGTCACTGGGCCACCGTGCCGCCGATTCTGGAAATAGGTGGAAGAAGGGGAGGAGTTTTTTTTTTTCCAGATAAAGTTATAGAAAGGAAATGAGGATATATATATATATATATATATATATATAGTGACTTGGGTTCCTTTAATTGGAGGATTGTGATTAGCTAATGTTGGCCAGCTGGGTAAGTCAGGAGCACGTGCTCCTCTCGAAATTATTCATTCATTTTCTTGTCTGCTTAGTCCCTTTATTAATCCGGGGTCGTCACAGCGGAATGAACCGCCAATTTATCCAGCACGTTTTTATGCAGCGGATGCCCTTTCAGCCGCAACCCATCTCTGGGAAACATCCACACACACATTCTCACACACACACACACACACTCATACACTACGGACAATTTAACCTACCCAATCCCATGTCTTTGGACTGTGGGGGAAACCGGAGCACCCGGAGGAAACCCACGCGAATGCAGGGAAAACATGCAAACTCCACACAGAAACGCCAACTGAGCCAAGGCTCGAACCAGCAACCCAGCGACCTTCTTGCTGTGAGGCGACAGCACTACCTACTGCGCCACTGCTTTGCCCCCTCTCGAAATAAGTTTAACATTAAACTTCATTTGGTGGATATTTACAACAAATATGCATAATTCAGTTATATTACTGATGCATTTCAATGCACTGATGCTTAATACTTTGCATAGTAGTGTTTTTTTAATAGAAGTATTACTGTATATAAAAAAATAAAATCAGTATGCGAGCCGAGTAGTATGTCCGAATTCAAAGAAATCGAAAATCAGTATGCGAGAAGTACCTGGATGACTTACTACTTCCGGCGAGGTTCTGGAGTGCGCATTCTATGCACGCTGTGCTATCCCATAATGCACCGCGAGAGAATTCATGAATGGAAGTAAAGCGATGCAACTGACACAGGTAGGTCACGTGACCATGACAAAATGGCAGATGTAGTACATCCGAATTCCATTCATATTTTTCGCATTCATACTGTATAGAACGTACATTTCCAGCGGCTGAGTAGTACCCTTAAATTCAAATGCGGTAACTACTGAGTTGTAGGTGGTTTCGGACGCAGCCCAAGATAAATGTAGAACAAATAACACAAGCACTTAATTTCAAACTAAATTGCTCCTGTAAGACTTTGCTACTAACAACAGACAGCAGTCCATGTCCCAGCACTCATCTAGAATCAAATAGAGACTGATTGTGTAACAAAATCATTCATTTTTTGTTTACCACAAAACAGGTCGATACGTCCTTATAAAACAATCAATGCAGCCTGCAGGTTTCCCAGCCAGAACAAGTAGCCTGATTGTGTCTTTTATTGTAGGGGATTTCATTCAATTCAAACACTTGTAGAATCTGGCCTTTGTGTTTAAAGACGAGCGCTTCAGCTGATGCGAGAAAGAAGTGGACAGCAAACCGGTTGCTTGACTCTTAGGCCGCTTATTTTTAGAATATCAATCTGTGGAAACTTGGAATCAGAAATGTAATTGTGACTTTTAATCACATTTTTTTTTTCAAACAGTTGCTTATCAGGGTTGACACAGTAGTGCAGTGGTTAGCACTGTCACCCCACAGCAAGAAGGTTACTGGTTTGTGTCGCAGCTGGGTCATTTGGCATTTCTGTGTGGAGTATGGATGTTCTCCCAGTGTTTGTGTGGGTTTCCTCTGGGTGCTCCGGTTTCCACCACTGTCCAAAGACACGTGCTGTATGTGAATTGAATAAGCTAAACTGGCTGTAGTGTGTGTGTGAATGAGTTTGTATGGGTGTTTCCCAGTACTGGGTTATCCATATACACTCATGCACACACATACTACGGCCAATTTAGATAATTTAATTCACCTTTAACATATGTCATTGGACTGTGGGGGAAACCAGAGCACCTGGAGAAAACCTATGCTAACACGGGGAGAACATGCAAACTCCACACAGAAAAGCCAACTGGCCCAGCCCGGACTCGAACAAACACCCTTCAGTGATTCTTAATTTAGCAGCTAATTGGTATTAATTTGAACAACCACTTTTCTACATTTTAGTATGATTTTCTCATTCCCCAATGACGGTTGTGTTTAGGGGTTGGGTGGTTGCAACACAGCCTCATTTTGAAAACGTAGCCCTATATACATTTCTGGAGATCGCTAATTATGTAACCAGAAGTACAGTATGTATGACTGCATTTCATTTTTTAAATGAACACTACGGGGTGGTATTTTTGCGCTTACCTCCATAAGGACGGCTTTTCCCACTGTTACCAGTTTGTCCAGTGGCTCGCCACGCAGACTTGTGACATAGCGCAGAGTTGACAGCGACAACGGGTTGCGAGTCCGACAAAGAATGGGTGCAGAAAGCAGGTAGGACAAAAGCCCAAAAATAAATAAACAAGTAAATAATTTGCTTTTGATTGCATTTAAAAACACTATTGGTTGGGTTTAGGGAAGCAGGACGGTGGGTCAGTTGATCAGTCAGTCGATAGTGGCCTCTGGTGGATTTACGCAAGAAAAGCAGAAATTTGAGATTTCAAAAAGTGTACACAGCGGCCTCAAAAACTGCAAAAAAACATAGTTCCTGGGATGTATTTGGCGCTCCCCAGAAATGTATATAGACCATTTCGACATGGGTGGTTTCATTGGCCCATGAACATTTCCAGCCTGTTATCAAACTCTTTCATAACTGTAACAAGAGGCGATTCAATCATAACTTATTGTTAAAACAGCCATCATAACATTATTTATTTATTAAATGTGGCTCTTTTTGGATTCTCGGAAGCTGTAGAAATTAAAAAATGTAAATCAAGAAATACCCTGGGACCATGGTTTTCGTTTACACCCCTTAAAATGGTCTATAGTGAAACATTTTCAGAATGAGCCTGGCTTAGGTTTGGGGACTATTTAACAATCATATGTTTTCATAAGAATTAAACTGTAAGAATTAGCCAGTTTTCTGACAATACCTTTACTGCAAAAAATGCTTTTTTTTCGATTTTTTTTTCTTATTTCTAGTCCAAATATTTAATTCTTATATCAAGAAGCATTTTCTAGGCAAGCAAAACATATTGTCCTGTTTTCAGAAATAATCTGCCAAAATTAGGTGAGTTTTTTCTTAAAACAAGCAAAATAATCTACCAATGGGGTAAGCAAAAAAATCTTGTTTTCCGTTTTGACATAAGATTATTTTTCTTACACCATTGGCAGATTATTTTGCTTGTTTTAAGAAAAAACTCACTTAAATTTGGCAGATTATTTAAAAAACAAGACAATATGGTTTGCTTGTCTAGAAAATTCTTCTTGATTTAAGAATTTTTAGATATTTACTAGAAACAAGACAAAAATCTAAGTAAGAAAATCCTTTTTTGCAGTGAATTCACTCAAAAAAACACAACATTTGATCTGTTTTCAAACTTTGTATTTAAAATGGGCTGAAACAACGCAATCCTTGACGTTTTTTGAGAGTTAATTGTTTTATGTTCAATCTACTTAAATTTGTAAAAAGTAAAAGATTTACTTCATTCCTTCATGTTGTCCTAACACAAACTGATCGTGTGGAAGCCAGCATACTTTACAGTGTTACACTTCGTCATGAGATTGTGCTATATTTATGTTTAACTCTGTGATAGCAGTCTCACCCCATATGCACCTGCAAACTCAGTCTTCTGCCCTTGCTGTTGTCTGTTAGTGGTGTCCCGCAGGTCTCCTCCTGGACTGTGTCTCATCCGCAGATGAAAAGAACTACAGAGGCATTCATACTGATTTTGTAATCCTGACAGGCTGTAAAAGCTACTGTGCACATCTTTGTGATTCGCCCACGTTTCGTGCTTCCGTTCCCCACGGCTGGCCCTCAACAGAACCCTTCTATAACCTTTCGCTGTTCTCTGGATCACCACTCTCGATCTGTCTGTGGTCTGTAAACCACTGGAAAGTGCTGATAAACCATTGTGGCCCGCTTTGCCCAATTGCTCACGGCACCATTGAAGCTTCTGTCCAGATGTCTTTTTCCAAAGCACTTTAGGACTTTTTCTTTCATGATTTTCCGAGACAAACTCTGAACATCGCCAAACTGTGGTTTCATCCTGAGAAGATTTCGGTACTTTATTGACCATTGGTAGATTCCCATTCACTTCAACAGTGTGGACTTGCATTGAGTTCTCATTGAGTGTTTGGGTCATAGAATCAATGGGATTGATGTGTGCGCAGGTTGAGTCCGGTGCACTGCTAATGTTTATGTCTGGGTTGGGAGTTTTATCATGGACACGGGTGATTTGAGAGGCTTTTCTTCTAGACTTTACCGCATCCGATGCATCATTTGCTGAAGACACACACAAACTGGGATGAGCTACTAAATGAGGGGATAAAATGATGTTCCTCTCGTCTAAGTAACTGCATTTTTTGTGCTGAAACTTCTTTTGTCTGTGAAATGCATTGTCTAAAAAAAAAGAAAAAAAGAGTTATTACAGATTTCGGTCTTACATAATGCTTCAGAAAACATGCTAATGTGTTTATTTGATGTGCCACAAACATTTTTCGGTTGCTGTTAAAAACGTTTATGCTTTAATATTTTCAAACTGAAAAATTAAGCAGCGTTAAAGGGATACACAAAAATAGAAAAAATACTCGCCGTTTACTCATCTCAAAGCTTTATAAGTGATGGAAACTGGTAACCATCACCACACACACCGTGGTTTAGAAAAGTCAAGGTTTTAAAACCGCCAACATTTTCTGTTATACCATTGCTAAGGTATGTGTAAGATTTTTTATTGACATTTTTTTGTTTGTTTGTTTTTTAGGACAACAATATCTTCAGCCGAAAAAATATCCAAAGATGCCATTTTAAATTGTGATGAAATCTGTTTTTGACACTAATGAAGAAAGCAGAAGTCAATGATTCATTTTCTTTATTTAGCCTGACATGTTTACGGCTCCAAAATATCATAAATCCATTCATTCATTTTCTTGTCGGCTTAGTCCAGGGGTCACCAATCCTGGTCCTGGAGGGCCGGTGACCCTGCAATGTTTAGCTCTAACTTTTCTCAACACACCAGCCTGGATGTTTCAAGTATACCTAGTAAGAGCTTGATTAGCTTGTTCAGGTGTGTTTGATTAGGGTTGGAGCTAAAATCTGCAGGACACCGGCCCTCCAGGAACAAGTTTGATGAGCCCTGGCTTAGTCCCTTTATTAATCCAGGGTCGCCACAGCAGAATGAACCACCAACTTATCCAGCACGTTTTTACGCAGCGGATGCCCTTCCAGCCGCAACCCATCTCTGGGAAAAATATCATAAATCCTTCCAAAAAATAGAATATATTGTTTTGAAAGGGAAAAGATGTGCTTTTTGGATTTTTAATCCAGACATTTAAAAAGAATATATTTTAGAGCAGTAATCACAATACTGTGAAACCGTGATATTTTTATCCAAGATTATCATACTGTCAGAATCTTAAAATGGCCCATGCCTAGTAACCCTTGACTACAACAGTATTTGTTTTTCCTACTATAGAGGTCAACAGTTACCAGTTTTTAACATTTTTTTCATAACTTCTTTTGGGCTGTGCTTATAGCCTAGTGCTTAGTTCATATAGCACAATTTTATAGTGCAACTACACTGTGGTCATCAAAAGTTATTTTCCTGATTCCCAATTTACAAATAATCCTACTCTTTAAAAGAGATGTAAAATGAGTCTGTGATGTCCCTACAGTGTTTATGTAAAGTTTCACCTCAACATAGCACGCAAATAATGTTTTATAACTCTTTGAGACTTTCCCTTTCGGGCTTTGATATTGTTGAGAAAAAAGGAATATATTTTGTATTACTTCTGTCTCTTTTACTTTTTATTAAATAAATGTAGCTGTGTCATATATATTAACCAAACCTCTTCTCTGAGTGTGATATGCTAGCATACTAATCAAGCATTTTTATAGAAGGAGTTGCAGCTGATGGAAAAGATACAGCGACATCAGAACATAACTTCTGGCTTCAGGCTTCCTGTGTCGCAGAGAAGTAAAATGTGCCTAAATACTCCAAGTGTTGAATGTTCGTATGGTTTACCTGCTGCGTTAGCAGGAGTGTGTGTTTCTGTGTCTGTCTGTCTCTTTCTCTCTCTCCCTCTCAGGCCTACCTGCAGGCCCCGCCCTAGCTACACAGACGACGTGCCCTGGGATTGGATGAAGTAACCCAGGGCGTCCTATAAAAGCAAAAACAGGCATGGGGCGAGAGAGCGATTTATGGTTGGCGTGTTATTTTGAGTTTGGTGTGTTACATGAAAAATATGTTGGGGTCGATTGAGGCCTCAAAGCAGGTGCATTTTATTGTTCAGTTTTGGTTTGCAGAGACGGCCACAGAAAGAGGAGGTATGTTTGGGTGTGGCCGCCAGAGGTCTGCAGAATGATCGACAATTGATGAATTCCACCAAAACTCCACCTTTTAACATCAGCTGTGTGTACATAAAAGAGTCAGGGAAATGCAGAGTTATTGCGGACCTCCTGAATGTAACTCTTGCATTGCATTGGTATACCGTAAGGGACAGACGTGACCCAGAGCTCTGTATATGGAATTATTCATTTGTATCTAATAAATTACTAATACTTTTGGTGGTGAAGAAAATCCTCTCCTGACTTCATTGAACATGCATGGGATTGGAAAACATTCCAGCAATCCATATTTTGCCATTTTGGTGAATTTGAATGAAATTGTGCTCTTTATCCAAAGAGGGTGGAGCTATAAACGCCTGTGTGTCAGTATAGTGGCAGATTCAAATCTCTAATGATGGACAGCTGCTTCTTATTTAGGGCTGTCTATGCTAATGAGACACAGATTAGCCCCTTTCACACAGTGATAGCGGTAAATATCTAGAAAATTTCCGCAACAACTTTACCGTTAAAATAAAAAAAGCGCTGTTCTAACAGGGAGGACGTTATATAATTTTTCCGGAAAAGACCATTCACACGTCCATTCCAAAATACAGGTAAATTCTGACATCATCAACCAGAGATGACCTCTAAACGACTGGGCTTGTATTTGTAAACATTTAATTACATTACAAACTCTGTGGATGGATCAGTAGTGTGAACAACTTTGATGAAAATATAGAGGAACACTTTTGCATGTCGTGATGTACATGATATGTGTGTGTGCTGGTGCTTACGGGCTGCTTCACGGGCACAAGCGCAAGTCAAACAACTGAAGGAAGCAGAGCTTGAAGGTAAACAAACAACGGCTTACCATAAGCATATTACCGATAATTATTTACATAGTTGGCATTAAGAAGGAACATATAAATGTTATCTGACTAACATCTAGCAACTAAATGTGTCTGGAAAAATATTCAAAGGCTTTTATTTTCATAAACCGCGTGGTGAATGCATCTGATTGTTCTGATTGGAAGAAGACGTCTCACGCCAGCACGTTCTAGACGTGCATGCGCTCTTTTCGGCAATCTTCCTTCTGCGTTCACACAATGCAGCATTTCGGCAAATTACTGGTAATGTTACAACTTCTCTTTCCGGAAAATAGCCAGAATGAATTTACCAGTATTTTCAAAAAGGGCCTGTTCACACATACAGACCTTTCCGGAATAAATGGCTGCAATTTTCCGGAAGGGTCTGTATGTGTGAAAGGGTATACTCACCAATGAGCGGGGCTTTCCCCTCTGATGACACGTACAAATGGAGAATGTCAATCACAGTGTTTCTGTTTTTATAAAGTGTGATTAAAAAATGTATTTAATTAATGTTTACCATTAGAGGCTGGCTATATTCACACATTTAAACCCCTTATAAAAGGGATTTTTTTACAGGTCCCCTTTAAATGCTGAGTACATTTCCAACAAACACTGGATTTAAATCTTCCATTATTTTAAATAATAATTTTTTAACTCAATGTTTGGGTTTTTCTATATTTTCTGTGAAACAACCCACTATTTTGTAGAATACTCTCTCTTTTCACACTAACTAACCCTACAGGAAAGTTTTTAGATCCATTAACCCACAACAACACACCTGCTGCTAATTATCAAGTGATCCCTCAACCTGATTGTCTAGATCAGGACTGGAACTAAACTGCAACATGTTCATTTCTAAAGCAGCCTTAAAACGCTTCACACTGGAAACAAGAAGACATCCTTGCAGAACACCATGGTAAATATATGAGCAATTCCATGTAAATGTCAATATTGTCTTGAAAAATATTAACCTTTCACCAAAATAGCCAAACCTTTTCTAAGTTGTTTGTGTACTCAAAATGTCTGTCGACGTTTTCAAACAGTTATATTTTATTTATCAAAGTCACACAAGTGGCAATTTCACATCTGTCACATTCATAACAGAGCAATGTCACATACATAACGATGCAAACATATAAAATCAATCATTTCTGTTCTATGGAGAGCCAACTCTTATCCTTTTGATTAGCATCGTTTCTTTTGGGTTGTGTGGAATTTCTACAAAGTATATTGTACACTGTAAACTCGCTAACTTTCTTGGTCACATCAGTGACGCAGGTTTATTTTCCTCATTTAAAATCTGAAAAATGTTTACAGATTGATATTTCTCTGATCCCATAGCTCTGTGGTTGGCTGTTTCTAAAATATAAACAGATGGTTCAATATAATGTTAACATATGCTTTCTATGTGAATTTAAGTTTTGTGATTTCCCATGTCACATGCATAACGCTGGAGTTGCTCATAAGCATTGCTGTTAACAAGGTGATTTCTGTTAGAAAAGTGTTAAGCCTTGCTCTTGGGTCTCTGGGTCAATGTTGTGAAGTCTGAGTCCTGTTAGGATGGTGATTAATAGCAGGTCTGCTTTCTAAATGTCAGGTCTGAGCCCAGCGTGGCCCGGCTCTGATCGATGTTCTGCTCGGTGGTCATCTTTCAGAAAGCCGCTCTGACGCTGTGGGACTCTCTGTGTGACTCACCGTTTCTCCAGAGAAGGTGAGTGCTGGAGGCTTAAACACAAACCTGTTCAACATCTAACTTCTGGAGACCTGGGACGCTTTTATTAGGGTTCGACGTTTGAGGCTACAAGACAAGATATTTATTTTCACCCTTTTTTTATTATGTATTTAATATTGGATTTTAAATATATTAAAAATATTAAATTTAAGGTTAACTTAAAAAGTTCAAATTGATGACGATATTTTGCATTATTTGACAAAGATCTGAAGAGCATTTTACAACATGAGCATCTCCAACATCTGGAAATAATGCAGATTCTGACACATTCCTCCTTTATTTGTACCCGTTTAAGCAAATAAATGAATAAATATCAGTGCACTCGGGCTCGTCTGTAAATCTAACAGGACTGGAGTAAACAACATCTGGCTGATATTTACTTCTAATGAGAAATCTTTGCATGTAATACGACTGTTAGTTTTGTTTTGTTTTGTTTCTCACAGTGGATTGAGAAGGTGCCAAATCCCTCCTGGGATTTTGGAAAAAGTCAAGATATTAAGTCTTATTTTTTCCTATTATCTAAAAATTATAATTTGTTAATATGCATTATAAACTATTGAACTTTTTCCAATATTACCTAAGTGATAAATTTAACAGAGCAAGGACATTTTCACAGGGTTTCCTATCATATTTTTGGCAGGAATAAAAGCAGTTTTTATTTATTTCTGTATTTGTTTGTTTATTTTTTTAAATTGTATTTATTTTATTGTTATTTATCATTTTTTTATCTACTTTTATTTTGTTATTTTATTTTTAATCATTTTTATTTTGTTGTTTTGTTGTTGTGTAAATTTTTTTTCGTTTTTACTTTTATTTACTATGTAATTATTAATTTTTAAATTTAATTTTGTTTTGTTAATGTATTTTTATTTTAGTTTTTTTATTTATTTTGTTTATTTTTATATTGTTTTCTTCTTTTATTTATTCATTTAATCTTTGTTTTATTGTTTATTTTTTATTATTTTTATTTTTTTACTTAATTTTATTTTATATCATTTTTTATTTTATTTTTGTTTTGTTAATGTTATGTTTATTTAATTTTTTATTTATATTATTTTTTATTTTATTATTTCTTGTATTTGTTTTGTTATTTTATTTTCATTTTTCTTTTTGTTTAATTTATTATTTTTATTAAATATTTTTGTTATTTTATTCATTTTCTTTTTAGTTTATTATTATTATTATTATTATTTTATTTATCTTATTTTTTTTCTTTTTTTTCTTTATTTTTAAGGTCCTTTAAGCTGAATACTAGTATCTTGCTAAATAAATAAAATAGTATGTACCGTCATCATAGACATAATAAATTAATATGTAAATTAAACAAATTTAATTTGTTTACAAATGTGTTGGGAAAACAAATCTCTCTATTAAACAGCACTTTTAAAAAATATATACATTTGAAAAAAGTTTGAATATTACAGCATGGCCTTCATTTTGCCTTCAACTGTGTATGGAAAGCCCATATATGGAAATGCTCTGGGTGTGCTCTGTGCAAATTATTAGTTCCAGGCACACATGCATTCATTAAGAACCTAGCCACGTTTACAAGCAACCATGCAGTTTGTTAGCAGTGCTATTCAACCTATTCTTCGCGTACGAGAGGGCGCATCCATTTGAATCATTTTCGCTCGAGACTTACAGTCTCATTCACTTCCATTCTTTTGAAAATAAGGCAATCAGTTTCCAAACTTTTTTTTTTTTTTTAGTAAACTATTTTAAGTGAACTGAAGTGCTTGGTGTTGCAAACTGGTATTTTCTTATTATGATTCTGCTTTGTCTTTATAATCATGCAAACACTTGTTTGTAGAGTAAGCAGTTTGGCTGTTTTCTGCCGTTTATTATTCCTATTTCTCCCATAGGCAGCTGAATTGGAAGTTCTAAAACAATCACAAAACGAGCGTTCAATATGGCCCAATTGGACTGACTCTTCACTCATTATGTCATTATTTTAACTATATTTATTGTGTTATTGATAGGATAGAGTGCAGAATATATTTACGTATTCATCAAAGGGCTCCTCTCAGGCACATGGACAGTGTCTGTAAACTCTGTGAAGCAGGCACCCCATAAAAATATTTAATCCCCAAAACTATGCCATTATCATCATTTGTCCTACATTTGTGCTGATGTGTGCCGCAAAAAAAATTAACTTTTGTGCAGGTTTGGGGTCTGATATTAAGCATTATTTCGTTGACCGTGTGACAATACTTTTCACCCCATGTTGCTCAAATCACTCCAAATCAGCAGAGTTAATTTGTGCTCGATGTGCGTTGGTTTGTGCCATTAGAACAATAAAATCTACTTTTCTACACTATCTATTTGTCTAGTGGAGAGGGAAGTCAAGAGTTCTCTCCTTAGACTGCTGCCCCTGCGACCCGGCCCCGGATAAGTGGATAAAAATGATATGAAGTTTTAATTATTTTTTTTTAATTACTAACATGCTCCGTTAAAAACATTGTAAAACTCTTTGTTGAGGTGCAGCTGATCACAGAGAGTTGGAACAGATCTTTTAAATCCCAGTCTCTTTGCAAATCCTGTTCTGTGGACATGTTTATAAGCATTACTATGGAGACATGTTAATGCGCGCATGTCAATCAATTCAGTGGGAGGGGTTTGGATCCTATTTTATTGTCAGAAAATTTTTAAAAGATTTATATCACACTATTATATCTACACATACTTTCTGTCCAAACAGCTTCCAAAAGTAGATTTTCCATGATTGGTGTTCTTTAACATCCATTACATGGCAACTTTTTAAAGGTTACCAAAAGTAATGAAATAAATTGCTAAACTACCAAATCTTGGTATCGAATTCAGAATTTTAGTGTAAATAGTCTCTTTTACAATACAAAAATGGTGTAAAAGTGTGCATAAGTATGTGTAATCTGGGTCGCACCCAATTTTATTTTAGGTGGATTTTATGTTATGATTCTTTAAGCAAGCAGATGAAGTAACTCTAACTTTAAAGATAATCATGATGCTGTAACAAAATGCTGTTAGCTGTAACGTCATTCAAAGCTGTTCAAAATCTGCATTAATGAACCACCTTCAGCACAGAATCAAAAGTATAGTAGCAATAAGCTCATACAAACAGCAATAACCAGTCAAGTCAAAGAGAGAAAGAGAGGTTAAAAAACATTTTGCAAATGAAGCATGCGGCCTCGTGTAAATAAACCTCTACATGCTGAGTGACTGGCAGGAAGTCATATATTTCAGTCTCGATAGTCGATACACACTGTGAGCTGACTTTCAGGCCTGCTGGGTAGTGAAGCACACTCTAGCAGATGAATGTTTTGCACTGCACCTAATAGACACTTCCACATCTCCACAAGGAGTTTCTCATAGCAGCAGGTGAAAGAACTGTATAATTAGACACCAGTCACAAACCAAAAAACACCAGCATAGCTTGTTAACAGATTCTGATTGGCTGTCAGTGTTTTAGCGTTTATCAGCTGGAAAAAAACGGTTGTTCTGAAAGTGATTCCAATGACTTTGTTTCTCTGTATTGTTGTCGTTATAGCTATGATCTGAAATTGTTTTACAAAATAATTTTTAGAGCTCTTTCTGGTTATATTAATAGTTAAACCCTTGGTGTTTTGAAAGAAATTGAGGTTTCTGCAGAGGAAGATGTGGGTGTTTAAGAATTTGGGGGTGTTTTTAAATGGTTTTTGATAAAAATAATCCTGTACCCAAATGTCATAATGACAAAAGCCGATTTGGTAACAATTGTGAAAAATTAGCCCTCTATTTTGGCCTCATCCACCGATTTGGTCACTTCCATTCACTCACGACTGTGGTCTGATATCTGATGTGGCATTAGTGGCATTTCAGAGAGACTATCGATTTTTCTTTGGCAGCATTTTACTCCTTCCAGCGAGATTCATTACAATGGAAGTCATTTCTTATTGAGAGGATCCCCTGACAGAATATGAATGGCTTTGATTTGCTTACCGTAGATTCCCGTATCTGAATCAGAACATTCCCAAGCACTGCACACATCCTCCTTCTCAACTCTCCTGTGGAAACCGGAGCAATTAAACACAGAAAAAGCTGTTACTTTCCAACACCTTTTTTAAAGAAGTATTAAAATGTGAAAGTGACATTTAACCATTGAGGTATTCATGAGTATGCTATTGCTATTGTAATGCTATTGTAGTTAGTAAAATGTTTGGCTGATAGTGTTGTAAATGTCATACTAGAAGTTGTCTGGTTTATTTTAGTTTTGGGGGGAAGGTTGACTTCTAAACCATCACAAACATTTATATCAAAGAAGTTTTTTGCTGACAGTTCTTGCCCTGTACTTTTAACAATTTTCTGAACCTAATGAATAAACGTGCAATTCATAGTGTTTCCACACAGGTGAGTGGGCTTGACAAACCACCTGTAGACACTCTTTTCCTCTCCATATACACCATACACTTTCTTATCAACACTAAATGTTTCTGCAAAAACATTGTGCAATTCTGAGTGTACTTCAGGTGAATGGGCTTGACAAACCACCTGTAGACACGCTCTTTTTCTTCTCCATATGCACCAGACACTTTCTTATTAACACCCCATGCTTGAAAATATGCAATTCTGAGTGCGATTCACACAGGTTGGTGGGTTTGACAAATGACCTGTAGAGACACTCTTTTCCTCTCCATATGGACCAGACACATTCTTATCAACACTCAATATTTCTGGGTAAACATAGTGCTATTCTGAGTGTACTCCAGAGGAATGGGCTTGACAAACCACCTGTAAACATGCTCTTTTCCTCTCCATATGCAGCAGACACTTTCCTATCAACACTCGATGTTTCTAGAAAATCATTGTGCAATTCTGAGTGTACTTTAGGTGAGTGGGCTTGACAAACCACCTGTAAACACACTCTTTTCTTTTTAATATGCACCACACACCTTCTCATCAACACTCAACATTTCTGGAAAAAAACATTTTGCAATTCTGAGTGTGCTTCACACAGGTTGGTGGGTTTGACAAACCACCTGAAAGACAGACTACTCCTCTCTGTATTCACGTAGAAAAAATGTAAACAAAACTTATGCTGCGTTTACACCAGACGCAGATGAAGGGTCAAGTGTGAGTGATTTACATATTAAGTAAATACAAAGACGCAGAAAAACATCCTGCGGTGTAATTCGCACGAATGAGGCAGTGTGAATGACATAATTCGCGATGTGGCGCAGTCTGAGGGCTTTGCGCATTTGATGGGAATTGCTTGAGTGGGAGGATCTGATTTTCATCTGACATTCGCACCGCATTAACCAATCATAAGCTTGCTCTTATAGGGGTGTGATTATGAAGTAGTGCCTGTTGTTGGTGTCCCGAGGGAAAATCCTCTGGCTGACACCAGACAACAACTCATCAAAACTGTGCTCAGTTCAGTCACAAGCACCACTGAAAGCCTCCATCATCCAGGTACAGTTTTTGGAGGAGTTAATGAACTAACAGAGCTGAGTGCACCTCTATAAGGATCTGGTGGACTCAGGCACGGCGCCGAATAAATATATGCTATTTTTCAGCCTTTCTAAAGCACATAAACACAGCTATTCTCTCAATAAAATCCATGTTAGCTATTTAGCAATGAAGCTAGCGTAACCGAGCAGAAAGAAGCCCTGCCCATGAAGCGAATCTGCATCTATTGTGAAGTTAATTTGATGTACGAATGAAGCAAATTTGACGCACAAATGAAGCAAGTAAACTCAAAATGTAAACATGTCTAGTTACATGCGAATAGTGAGATTTTATTTGTGCATGCTGAGTCTGGTGTGAACACAGCATTAGACTTGACATGGCATTTATATACTTCTACTTTTTAATGATTTGAAATGCTTCTTTTATACTCATTTGTTAGTCACTTTGGATAAAAGCGTCTGCTAACTGAATAAATGTAAACACGGTAACAAAAAGTGTGAAAAATTGTGAGTTGTCTAAATAATAATTTTGGGGTGAAAAACTAATTTTAGTTCTATATAAAATTATTGATCCTCACAAAGACTGATAGTAGACAACATGACTTTTAATACTGAACTGCATCTGATGTGATGGCAACATGCAAGAGAATAGACGGTCAAAACAACATAATTTCCTCTCTGGCTAGAAGTCTAATAAATGGAGCTAGTAAAAAGATTCCCAGTGAATGTTCCTGCAGCAGCTCATCAAATCTCTGCTCTGATGGAGAAAGACTCTACAGGACCAATGAGTCGCAAAGTCCGGCTATTATTCCATTACCAAGCCCTCATTTCAGCCCTGCTCCAATCACCTCCAACATCTCTAAAGCACTCTGATAGTGAAAGCGTAATGCAGTCATTCTGTGTGCTCGGTGTGGCATAGAGTAGAAGTGTTGCTTTTGATGAGGTGTTTAGATTGGGTGCAGACACTTTAAGAGATTCGATGCACATGACAAAGAAAGGCAAGCTTTAGATTGGCAGTTATTTATCATGATTTTAGCATTAAGTAGATATGAGCTTCCTTAACAGAGATAACTTACAACAAAAGAAAAGCTACTGTAAAAAAAATATATATATATATATATATATATATATATATAAATATATATTTTTTATTTTATAAATCCAGATTACCAATAAACACTGACAACATTTCATAGCAATTCATGAAAAAATTATCTGTGCACCTATAAATGATTTTATGTATTGTCTCAAATGAATAAAAATAAATACAGAAAATAAAAATATTTCCCCATTTGTGAGCCAACATAAATGGTATTACTATTATTATTATTATTATGAGAATTAAGATTTTTAAAATTATGTAAGGACAATTAAAGTTTACTTAGATTTTTGGCATAATAGATTGAGTGAGGTTATTAAATAGTTAAGGAATAGCATTTACATGGAATATATATGATACAATTAAGGTGGTTCATTCCGATGTGGTGACCTTTAAAACAGAAACTCGATGGAAAATGAATGAATGAATGAATACATTAAAGAAGTTAATTCAGCCAAACTACGGTGATAACTTACCTTTTACTCTTTTGTTTGGTATCCTTGAGCTGCATGTTGGAGCACGTTTGTCTCGTAGTCTCTTTGGAAGTCTTTGACGTGGTCATTTTCACACCCAGGGCCATAATTTGATATACACAACACAACACGCACGTAACCAGGAAAACGACGCACTTCAGGAACTGGAGTTTAGAAAAGAACCTGTTCACAGGAGTCATTTGGTTGTAGAATAGGCTACCCATGCGTTGTTCTATTGATTCACTTAAAAAGAACTTGCTGACAGAGGACTCATGTTCGTGAATCAGGGTAAATATGGCGCTGACTGTATGCTTCTGATTTATTGAAAAAGGGCCTGTTTACAGGAATTATTTGTTTGTTACTCAGGCTGGCGCTGTATTGGCAAAGAAAAAAAAATATGTTTACAAGAGTCAATTGATTATGAGGCAACGATAGTTGAACTAGGATTCCCTAAGAATAACCTGTTCATTTTGCGCGATTCAGGCTAGATTGGTTTGCATGTAGGCGATTTGATGTTGTTTTTTTTTTTATAAGAGGTAGATCAAATACAACTACATGCATATATATAGACATACAATACAAATAAATGAAAAAGTGCACAAATATATGTAGAGACAAACGCCAGCAACAAAAAAATAAAATAAAATAACATTACATCTTAAAGAGACACAAAGGAAGAATATAAGGATACAGTTTTGTTGCTTTTGGATTAAAAGTGTGCTGAATAGTTTCCAAATATTGGTTCAAGTCAATTTTAAACAGATCAAAAAAAAAATAATAATAAAAAAAGGTCAAGAGCCACTAATAAGTTATAACTTCTGTTTGCCAATAGACTTGGCTAATAGACCACATAAATTGATTATCTACACTTTTAACAAGTTTTCTTTAGAATATTCAAACAACCCAAAGAAAATACCTTTTAAAAGAAAAGTCACTCATAATATAAGATTGAATAACATCAACAGATCTGACCAGAATCTCTCTCTGTTGGAGGACTTCCAGAACAAACGAATACAGTCTTCCTCAGAAGAGTGACAAAAAGATCCGCATCAAGCAGTACCTGCAGTTAACCTCTCAGTTGTTCATCATAACACTTTTATCAACCTTTTTTTTTTTCACAATTAACAGCGAGAACAAACATAGAAGTGTTGTCTGGTCGACAAGCGACTTCAAATTGTTTAAAAGTATTTAAAAACGAAAAATGGGACGAATTTATCAACACCAATTTGAAAGTAAAACCTACTCTAACAGGCTATTGTAATTACACAACATTAAGTGCAGTGTGTGGGTGAAATGGGGGCAGCGTTTCGATGTGGTCATGTTATGTTGTGGTTCTGTGACTACTGGTGATGGTTTGATGGGTGCTGGTTCAAAGTTATGACAGATAAAGTAACTAGGTTAATTTAGATTTAAATAAATAAATTAAAATATTAATCTAATATTTTGGATGTTTTGGACTGCTTTTGGGCTGGAAAAAGTCAACTTTATCTGGCTACACTCTCCGCTGTAAGCTTTTGATTCAGCAAAAATCCAAAGAGTCATTTGTTTGTGAAATAAGGCTACATTGGTTGCGCTGTATGCTTTTAATTAACTGAAAATAACTTTTCAAGAATCATGTGTGTGTGAAATCAGTCTACTTCATTTATATGTTATAAGCTATATGTTTTTCATTCACTATTGTAACCCTGCCGGTCCTACTGGTATCGAAACGGCGACCATTCCGCATGAGAATCGGTTGCTTTACCAAGGAGGCTAAAAACCATGGCCTCTAGCATGTGTCGCTAGAGCATCTTTAGAGGTCAGAGGAGTGAGGTTTACATGCACAGAACTTACTAGCTGGCTTTTGCTACACGCACCCCCCTAAACCTTACTCCCATCCAGGTCACGGCACCAATGTAACCCCAACGCTCCTACGCCACCCAACCCGATTCGAGCTGGTATCGAACTGGCAACCTTCTGCATGGGAGTCAGTTGCTCTACCATGGAGGCTAAAGACCATGGCTCTGACCTGCACAGCACTTACTAGCTAGCCTCTGCTACACTAAGAAGAACCTGTTCACAAGAGCCATTCGTTTACAAATTGTGTTACTTTGGTTGCACTATTTTTTTATGCTAAAAATAACAGTTTCATAAGAGTAATTAGTTCTTAAAACAGACGTATCAATCCAAAATACAACACAGGTAGACAAAGTGTACATATATATATATTTAATTTAACTTAGAACATTTGAGAAGAAACATCAGATGCGAATAAGAAGTCTCTTTAGCTTCGAAATGGCAGCTCATTCTCTGGCGGTGTCTCTTTAGTCACGCTGAAGTCCTGTGCTGGAAGATACTGACAGAAACGGAGAGAAAAGCAGGAATCCCTGAGGCTGTTTCATCCATCTGGTTACTCAGGCGTTCACATTCTTCCCTTCTCCAAGTGTCCATGAGGAAAGCCTGGAGCAGAGCCGTTTTCTGCCAGAGTCAGAGAACAGCTGCTGCTGATGGCAGAGAGAAATCAAAAAACAAAACTTCTTTGCTGTTACATTCCTACTTTCAAACCAAATGGAAAGCTAATATTGCTGTGGAGAAACTAACATGTGCCTCTGCCAGAGACTGTAGTGGATTGGGCTTGCTTCTCGTCTTCCCATTCCAGACTTCTGGAATATTTATGACCACATGGACAGACCTCGGGGATCTCATTGGCTTCACAGTAAACAATGAACAGCATAAAAGTGAGATTGTTGATTTATTGAAGCTATTAAATGACTTTTAAATACAGCCAAGCAAAAGCTGCGCTGGTCAAATTCATTAGCTTTAATTTACAATATGTGCTCAAGTAGCATCTGGTATTACGATATGAAATCATTTTACTTACATCTTTAGCTTCATTTGAGATTTTCTGAATGACATGCATGTGGAAAGTGAACTGCTTTGAGTAATCTGGTTACTCACTATGGTTTGGATTAATTAAAAGCATTTTCATGAGAATCATTTGTGGAAAGTTATAATACATTTATTTATTATTATGTAGCAATATTTTTGTTCTCTCCAAAAAATAAAACTTGTTTTACTCAAAAGAATATTCCAAAATTTGAAATTGATACCTCAAAAAATAAGCTTACAGTAAAATTTAGTTTGGCTGCAGTACCAACCATGACCACCAGTTGACCATCTAGTTTCCATTGATCACCATACAAGGGCGCCCCCTATATTTAGAGAAAAATTAACCATATTTTTACATAATTTTGACAATATTTGTAGTTTTTTAAGCCATCACTCTTTTTACGCAACAAAAAAACGGTGGTGTTTTATACATATAAGATTATTTATATATATATATATATATATATATATATATATATATATATATATATATATATATATATTAAAATTGGGCATAATTAATTTTTTAATCTAGATCAATCTCGAAAGTCATCTAGATTAAAATCGCTCATTTGAATTCTGCCGAATACATTCAGAATGTAAGCTACCCAAATAATAAGTCTTTGAGAACGGGTTTCTCAAGCAAGGTGGCACATTAGACCAAGGGCTCATCTCCTGTTTCCAAAATGCATCACAAACTGCTTGAGCAACTGTTCTACTATGATAATTGGTGATGAAAATAAATGATGTTCAATAAGATGTACTTGTGTTTACTGACTGTTTATTCAGTTAAACATGAATTTGGTACTGTTGGCTACATAAGATCGAAACAGCGATGGGGAAAAACAGACATGAAATTAAGACGTGTGGAGTATGCATATATTAGTGGCATTATTGAAGTAAACATTGCAAGTAAACTATCACCGTCATGAAGGACTTTTCAAAATTTTTTTCAACAAGATCCACATACAAGGCTGTCAGTAAAGGACTACACACACACACAAACACACAGAAAACACACACATCGCGAAATGCGGAAGTTTTTTTCTTTTCATTTGGCATGTGTTATTAAATCCCATAACGCTCTTACCGGTCCTAACTCCTTATTTTTGTCTAATATCCGTGTTTGTCACGGGGCATGAATGAAATATTCATGAGTTAAAGTGAAACTGCCAAACTACAGTTAAAGACATGTGTCCTGCTGATTTAATTCAGAAGGGCACTTTATTGTCAGACGGCTCACGGGTCAGGTATACATCCGGAAAATTCTGTGAAAAGGGGTGGGATTAAACAAGATGATTAGACATTTCTAAAAACCAAGCGATTGCTCCATTTTTTTCAATTTCTGTCCAGAGAGGTCTTGTTTCGATTTTCGATTGGTCTTATGCAGTCATGTGATTGTGATTTCGCAGGTCAGAGTTCACCAAGCTTGAACTTTGCAATGCAGTGAACAGCGAAACTTGTCAGTGGAATGGAAGTCTCTGGAGGCTATTTTTAAGTTTATTTTTTTAATTCCCAGATTCTGCTGGTTGCACTTTCTGAATTTTCATTGCTAATCTTGTGTTTTTTTTTTTTTTTTTTTCAATTTGAAATGTTCCCAACCAATGCAGAGTCCGGGAGATCAGAGTGAGTGCTCCAGCTTGGCTCCACCTTGATCCAGAAAAGCAAAGAGTTTTTAAAGCAGCATTTTAAAGAAGGGGTCTGAGCAGGACTAACTTTTTAGTCCCACTCCCGCAGGGTTTTACTCCCCATGCACACAGGGCGTCAGCGTCAACGCTTCCCATTCACTTTGAATGGGTGACATCAGGCGTTGCGGAACTGCATTGTGGATCCGTTGGCGCCACTTCAGAGGCGTTGCTTGCTGCAGAAGTTGGGACTAGCTCAACTTTTCAAGCGCCGACGGAAGCCTCAGCCAATCAGATCACTGTATGCAAATATACTAGCTAGACAGTGGCCTATTGCTGACTGAGTTTCATTGGCTGACGCTTCTAAGACAATCACTTCTGACACGCCTTCAGTCAAGCTTTGACCGTGTCAATGGGGCGTCATTCTGCACCCAACCGCTCCTGCTATATATTCAGCCATTCTTCAGCCCAATCAGAGATAACATAAAATTGTAGGTTGTGCAAGGATGTTGGCTAAATGTCAGTTTTGTTTACCCATTTGTGATGAGACATGAGTGCTGCCTTAAACTTGAGGTTCCAGTCTTGACTGCTAAAGGCTAAAACTTTGAGGTATTATATGATATGCTGTTCCGAAATAACGTTGGCATGCTATATTATTAGCCCGTCCGCTCCGGTTCAATTTACACTGACCGTTACCGTGTTCGGAAATTCATTTCTGCGCTGCAAGACATCTGGTCGGGGGAATGCAGACCTCTATTGTAATGCTTCATGTGATCATTTTGGGATTTGTAACCTTGTTTAACATTCATTATTCACTTTGCCAAGCAAGATAGAATTAAAACACACTTTTTTTTTTTTTTATAACAGCATTTTTTTATATATATATATTCAAAGAATACATAGATAATTCCAAGACAATCATTTTTCTAATCGTCTGTAAAAGGCATAGTTTTAAATCATTTGAAATTTACTCCACATTCTGCTGTTAGTGCACCACATTCAGAAATCACACTGTAAAATGCACTCATTTCATATTCAAAGGCTTTAGTTAAACTCTCTTGATTTCTGCATTTTAGAATCAATGTAAACAGTTGCGGAATGTCAGCATCTTCTTCAATGTTTGCATAAAGACGTGGCTTTGGTAACCTGAATGGAATAGCACGGAGATCAATTCAGTCCAATGCAAAAAAGCATCCATTCAGAGTGCATTTATTTTTTGTTTATCCACTAATCCAATGGTTTTTGGGCATCAAGGCAGCTTTGAAAAGAGGTAAACAGCATTTGCATTGATCAGTGAAAGGCCAAGACATATGAACCTCAAACGTCATGTGGATAAAATCGTCAACAGAAAGGTCACATGACGCAATAATGTATGCATCTTCACTTTCCGGGGATTGCATTTATTATTATTATTATTATTATTATTATAGTTTTAAACTCTTAGAAACAAAAATGAAACGCTAGTCTTAGTATAAAAGATTTGGCAGTATAATTTGACAGGAAATGATTCTTCTATTACAGGGTCAGTTGCTGAACGCTTGTTTTAGGATGACTCTCTCTCTGTCTCTCTTTGGTGTTTCAGTCTCTGAATAGGATATTATTGGTATGTTTTGGAATAAAAGCGGTTTTGGTGTGGTCCCGTTCACCTAAAAGCACCATGGGAGATCAGGAAAAGTCAGCCTTTCCATTTGCTTCAGCGTCTGTCCTTTGAGAATGCAGGAAGGACTCCCATATAGCCAAACACTGCAAGAAAACACAAGTATATTAACCCTTTTACTGGCATCATAATCGACTGTTTGTCATAGGTTATCATTAAAACAAAAAATAATCTAATAAATTTGCTTATAGTGGTGTTGAATCGTATCACATATTTTACTGAATTTCATTTCAGTTTAATCTTCATGGCAAAAACTATTTCATTCAAACAGACACATTTAGATTTGATTCTTAAGATGAGATTCTTAGGGTGCTTTCACACCTACACTTTTGTTTCGGAACGTGTCTCGTTTGCCCAGTTAGCGCGGTTCGATTGGCATATGTGAACAGGGCAATCGCACTCTGTTCCGCGCCAAAGTAATCGCTCCGAGATCGCTTGAGTGAGGTGGTCTCGGCTCGATTGAAACGAACCCTGGAGCGGTTTGATTGCAGTGAGAAAGCGATCCGATCCGAGCGCGGTTATATGACAGTGTTTTATGGATATGTAATAGGCTTACGGCTACATGAAGAGAGAATTATGAGTAGGGCGGGAAGTTTCGCGAGTCTCCAGATGCCCGCAAACGAGTGATGATCTCCCGGTAATCTCGCGTCTCTCTCCCAGTCCTCAAATAGGCATCGTCGCGCACCCTTCTCACCCCTCCCCACCGTGTCTCTCCTCAGACACGTCACGCGCGCGCACCCTGTCAATCACCACCAAACCACCACCTCCTGACAGCTGAGCGGGACGCTGCAAAATAAACCCTGACACTCTGACTAATGTAAGGAGAGTTTACTCGCACGTGACTTGTTTTAGCTCTTTTGGTCCGATTAGAAACTTTGCAGTCTGAAAGCGAACCGCTCCAAGAGCAAAGAGCAACAATGTAACAATTGTAATCTCTGTTTCGGAACAACTGAATCGATTCACAGGTGTGAAAGCACCCTTAGAGTGGTGTCTTTAATACAATTTAACCAAAATAATCGGTCAATTTTGTTCCTTAAAGTCCCCATAACTAGACTTTTTTTTTTTTTGTAATGTGACGCAGTTCCTTGAGAATTTTTTTAATGAGATTTTTTTTCCGGCTGTGAGCAGACTGGATGTAGTAAAGTAGGCATTTTATTCATAAAGCTCACGAAATGGGTTTCCTGCTCACCATTTCTGCTTGTTGTCAAAACGAGTTGTTAGCCATGCTTAACACCTCAAAATCAGGTAATCTGAGAATTTTATTGAATAAAAAAGAAGTGCATTTTCAGATGTTAATTTTAGATTAAAAAGGCAAACAGGGCTGGAGTAGGACTACTTTTCAGCCCTGGAATGTCAAGCCTTAGACCGGCCCACCTCAGTTCACGGCTGACTATTAAAATAACGTCATTTCCAATTCAGTTTCTAATGGCACTCACGTCTTTTTCAAGGAAACAGCTGCTTTAGAACTTCAAATGTTTTCATAAATATGAGAACATTAAAGCGTGGCCAAATCTCCAACACTACTCTTTATAAAACATCAATGTCCTTTCCTGCATTATCTGAATATATATTCTGTGCAAAATTCTTTATAGATATCCAATCCTTTGTAACAGTGGTCACACAAAAACTAAATAAATATTAAATAAAATATTTACACCTACATGAGTAATTCAAACAGTATTATATGTCTTAACACTAAAAATGAAAAAAATTAGTAAATAAAATAAATTAGGTGAGATTCGAATCAGGGGGTCGGCGGCATCGTAACGCAATGGCTTAATCTTGTGTTCACTTTTTCTTATATTCCCTAAGGTGCTGCTGTTTGCGGCTGAATGATAGTTACATCATCATTAACCTGCAGGCTGCATTTTGGTCACAGGGCTGCAAGAAAATAAATAAAAAGAGCGGAACTGCTGCAAAAAAATGAATAAAAAGAGTGAGGCTATGGTCAAATAAATACATAAATGTAAAAAGTGCGACTGCTAAGAGTGCAAGCAGCTAGGGACGCTGGCCCACCGGGAATTCTCCTGGTCCTCCCGATTTGCCAATCCGGGCCTGAGGGCAAACATTTTTATTTCTTAACGACATGCACAGATGAATTGCTCAGCACAAAACTGACTTTTTATTTCATGGGGACTTTAAAGAAGAAAATAAAGGGTTAAAACAACGAGCCACAAAAATTTACTCAGTAATTTAGGCAAACAAAATCTTTACTGCTTTTAGAAATAATCATAACCGCATAAATACATAAAAAAAACTAAAATATTAACAGAATATTGAATTATTTTCAGTATAATTGCAAAATTCTAAATAAATTGCCATGTTGTATGATTACTACATGCTTTGACATGATATATAAATAAAATAAAAATAATAGTAGTTATCATTAAAAATTTGATAAATTATTTATAAATAATTATATTTAAAATAATATATAAACAATGATGCATGTTAAAAATAATAAATCACTTGTGTATTTTTTATGAAGCATATGTGGTATCTGCTCACACTATATGAACCCATAACTAACGTACTTTACACAACATGGCTGTAGCCGGCGCAATAGACCAATTACCATGTTTGTAAACATTTAGGATGCGCGCGCAGGGAGGTGGCAGAAAGCAACCGGGAGCGCCAGCATTTACAGCGAGGGAACGACATCAGATGCGGTGCAGAGTTTGTTGTTGTCTTAGAAATAAGATATATTAATTACATATTATATATATTATTTACGTAATGCTTACAGCATATTATAACAGCTCGACACCCAGTGATAAGCACAGTTATTCAGCAAAATTAACGTTAAAGTGAGCGGCGTTTATCTGACAGGTCCATTTGCGATAGCACCCTCCCAATGAATATTGGATAAGACCAAATGACCAAGCATCCAGCCCGAAATATACAATCTCAATGAAGCTCCGAGTGATTTTACAAGAGAGGAGTTAAAGGTCTACAAGTCTTTGGATGCCAACAATTTTGTTCTTTGAGGTCATGTGCAATAAATATTGCTCCATGATGACCAGATTCAAGAGCTAAACACCGAGATTCTGCCTAGCCAAAGACAAGGAAACAAGACGGAGCTAACGTTATTCAAGGCCTGGGTAATTAATCACCAACACGCAAAACAACTGCATTCTGACAGTGAACTTCACCTGTACGGGAGGGTATGTGAACCTACACATAGAGGTAAAGTTGGTTTTATATTCGCACATTCAGACTTTCTGCTTAATAATATAACTTCATAAAAATATTACTTGCAATCTCTAAATAGCGAAATCATATTGGCAGCAGTCAATGACTATCAAAGTACAACATAGTTCACAATCAAATAAACAGTGTTAATCTTGTTTTCAAGTCACACTTGTAGGTTATTTCAGACCGAATATTCAAAGTGCCGTGGTAAACAATATAGGTAGTGTGTCAAACATTGTCACTGAATGAATGTGTGAATATAAAACCAAGTTTACCTTAATAAAAGTAACTTTCACGTTTCATTCTTAGCATTCAGCGTCAGCAGTGTAATTAACCATATGTAACTGTTTTTGCTGAAATCATTTCTGCAATCAAAAACGAGTGATGTGTATGATTCAGCATAGCGTGAACTGACCTGATATGACATGAGAACTGCAGAGTCCAGCATTTCTAATTAGCTCCTCACTTCATTCAGCTCCCATTTAGCCAAAGACGTCTGCAGTCGGTATTAAAGCAGTGTGTGGTGTATGGTAAAAGTTAAGTTTTCCATTTTTGGACTCAAATTCGGCATCCTACCGCAAAACATCTTTCCCATTGTAGCCTGTCTGTTTTTTGCAACTGGGGACCCGTGTGACGTCATGTGTGACGTAGGTTGGTAATTGGTCTATAATATTATGCAGCACCTGAAAATAGTCTCTACCTAGGTAACAGTGCTGTGTAATATCATTGTGCCTGCTAATGCCATGGTACGGCAGCAAACATTTTTGATTATTATGCCAAAATGAAAGTATACCTTAGTTCCTAGCGGTTTAAAAACATAGCAACCTTTCATTTTCTGTCAGTCTTTGTAAACAATGTTTTAGATTTTTTTTTTTTTTTTGTGCAAGATGCTAATGGTCTAATCTGATTAAATGATTTATGCTAAGCTAAGCTAAAAGTGCTCAGACCTGAAGATCGGCTGAATGGATAAAAAAAAAAAAAAAAATAAAAATGGTAAAACTCAATCTTTTAACTCTGAGACTTTTATTTGTAAAATATTTTCTAAATTTGCTTATATATTCTCCAAATCCCAAGGTTTTTATATTTGTCATTTGGTTTCAAAGGACTTTTTGAAAGGAATAACTATTTTTTTTATTTATGATTATGATCAACTCCTATGTAATTCATGCTGAATCACCAAAGAGTGTGACAGTGTGTGTTTGTGAATGTAAATATGTATGTGATTTGACTGATTATTTCAGACAGAATGACATTTAAATAAATAAATGTTAAATATAGACTTACTTGAATATGTGTTTAGCACAGAAAACTGAACATAGATTGGATATAATTTATAAAAACGTTGACTCTAGCATGGAAAAAATAACAAAAAATAATACTGAAACTTACTTTATCCAATCTATGTTCAGTGTTTTTGTGCTAAATACATATTCAAATAAGTCTATATTTAACATAACGTAAAAAACAAAAAATGTTTAGCAATCCTAATGAAATCAGCTGTGAAAGTATGCTGATCACAGTGTCTTGCCTTAATCAATGCAGGACTGAGGAGTGATGTGATCTGTTAAGCTCTTGTGACGGGCCGTGTCTGAGGCCGCGGGATAGCTAGATTCATCTCAGCAGCAAAGAGCATAGCTTAAGAAAGCAGCTGATGTCTGTGTCACTCCTGATATTGAGATATTGATTCAACTGCAGCTGGTTAAAAGGCCACTCAGGACTTCAGTGCAAGTTCACCTTCATTCATCTGCTGCTCAAAAGTTATGCTATAGTCTAAATACAGCCGACATAAAGACACATTCAATTTCCCACTGTACAGTTTGCAGAAGTGTGAATTTAGGAATTATGAATATTTGCTACTGCCAATAATCTTGCTACCAGTATAAATTTACTACTA